GAATGGCGCCTGTGGCTTAAAGGAGTAGGGCACCAGCCCCATATGCTAGAGGTGGTGGGTTCAAACCCAGCCCCGGCCAAAAACTGCCAAAAAAAAAAAAAAAAAAAGAAAGAAAAAAGAAAAATGTGTTTCTGAAGGGATTTTTGCATGGAAAAAATGTAAGCTACATGTTAATTAAAAAAAAGTAGATCACAAAATTATTCATGCAATGTGATTAGAACGATTTAAAATTATTCAGACGGCATCCATAGCTCAGTGGGTAACTGTGCCAACCACATACACTGAGGCTGCAGGTTCACACCTGGCCTGGGCCAGCTAAAACAATGACAACTGCAACAACAAAAATAGCCAGGCGTAGTGGTGGGTGACTGTAGTCCCCGTTTGGGAGACTGAGGCAAAGAAGACAGCTTAAGCCCATGAGTTTGAGGTTGACGTGAGGTATGACCCCATGGCACTCTACTCAGGGCTATGGGTGAGGCTCTGCCTCAAAAAAATAATAATGGTAAAATAAAATAATGCAATTATTTGAAGATGGCTATTAAATAAATAAATCTCCATTAAAATATGTATGTGTACTCAGAGGAAGAGGCCTGGGGGAAATACTGCAGAATATTAAAGTGAGATCAGAGAAACAGAGTCACATTTTGAGCTGTTATCTTTAGTTTTACCCCGGGGCTCAAAGTCTCTCAACCTCTCTGCAGCCCAGTTCTGATTTCTCTGTTTTTTGTTGTTTTCCGACAAATGATAAATAATACTAAAAAACGGAAGTCCTAACCCCCTCAATGTTCACAGCAAAGTGTCTGTGGTTTGGGGAATTCGTATGAGTCCTTCACTGGTTATCCTGGGCATTAAGTATGCACCTATGGTGTGTCTAACTGTAAAAGAATGTAAAACAGGGTGGCACCTATGGCTCAGTGGTAGGGGGCCGGCCCCATAAACCGAGAGCGGCGGGTTCGAACCTGGCCCTGGCTAAACTGCCACAAAAAAATAGCTAGGCATTCTGGCAGACACCTGTAGTCCCAGCTACTTGGGAGGCTGAGGCAAGAGAATCACCTAAGCCCAGGAGTTGGAGGTTGCTGTGAACTGTGACGCTACGGCACTCTACTGAGGGTGATAAAGTGAGACTCTGTCTCTAAAAAAAAAGTTAAAACAATGCCCCAGTGTGGGAGGTGAGGTGTCCCTTATCGGCTTTCCCCAGGAAGAAGCAGTCATCGTGGGCTCCCCAGGAAGGGCCTGGGGAGCTGCAAGCAGGCTAAGCCTGAGAATGAGCTGGAGTTGCTACCTTCCAGGGTTCCTGCCGTACCAGAGGGGCTGCAGCAGCCAGGCTTGGGGAAAGAGACTGAGGACCAGCAGGTGAAACAACAACGGAACCCGAGGACTCCAAAGGGTCAGCCCCCTGAGAGCTGCCAGGTAACCCCTAGGAGATCTGGGCAGAAGGGAATAGAATGACCTACCCATAGGGGGAGCACTCCGGGAGGCCAAGGTGGGAGCATGGCTTGAGCTCAGGATTTCAAGACCAGCCTGAGCAAGAGCAAGACCCCATCTCTACTAAAAATTGAAAAATTAGCCAATGGATGCCTGTAGTCCCAGCTACTTAGGAGGCTGAGGCAGGAGGATCCTTTGAACCAAGAGTTTAAGGCTGCTGTGAGCCAGGCTGATACCAGCACACTCTAGCCTGGAAAATAGAGTGAGACTCTGTCTCTGGGTTAAAAAAGAAAAAGAAGGCTCAGCGCCCATAGCACAGTGGTTACAGCACCAGCCACATCCGCTGAGGCTGGCGGGTTTGAACCCAGTCCTGGCCAGCTAAACAACAATGACAATTGCAACAAAAAAATGGCTGGGCGTTGTGGAGGGCACCTGTAGTCCCAGCTAATTGTGAGGCTGAAGCAAGAGAATCGCTTAAGCCCAAGACTTTGAGGTTGCTGTGAGCCATGATGCCACAGTACTCTACTTAGGGCAACATACTAAGACTCTGTCTCAAAAAAAAAGGGCAGCACCTGTGGCTCAGTGGGTAGGACGCCGGCCCCATATACTGAGGGTGGCAGGTTCAAACCTGGCCCCAGCTGAACTGCAACAACAAAATAGCCGGGCATTGTGGCAGGCACCTGTGGTCCCAGCTACTCCGGAGGCTGAGGCAAGAGAATCACCGAAGCCCAGGAGCTGTGACGCCACAGCACTCTACCGAGGGCAATAAAATGAAACTCTTTCTCTACAAAAAGAAAGAAAGAAACTAGCCACAATCAAGAAAACAACAGTCTCTCTCCCAGCACCCCTCTCTCCCTGACTCCTTGTCTCTCTCTCATCCTTTGTCCCACTAATCTCCCACTGACTATCTCTATAGATTTGTTTGTATTTCCTGGAATTTTACTTAAATGTAATTGTACAGTGTACATTCTCCTTGTCTTCCTGCCTGCTTGCCTGCCTTTCTTTTTTTAAATTTTTATTATTTTGCCGGGGCCAGGTTTGAACCCACTACCTCTAGTAGATGGGGCCAGCACCCTACTCCTTGAGCCACAGGAGCCACCTGCCTCTCTTTTTCTAGGCAGAGTCTTACTTTGTCAACCTCGGTAGAGTGCTGTCGCATCAGAGCTGATAGCAACTTCAAACTTGGGATTAAGCAGTCCTCCCAAGTAGCTAAGACTACAGGTGCCCATCCCAGCACCTGGCTATTTTTAGAGTTGGGGTCTTGCTCTTGCTCAGGCTGGTCAGTCTGGTCTTTTTCGCTCTGTATGTTTGAGATTCATCTGTGTTATAGTATGTATCAATACTTTACTTGGGCGGTGCCTGTGGCTCAAGGAGTAGGGTGCCTGCCCCATATGCCCGAGGTGGCAGGTTCAAACCCAGCCCTGGCCAAAAAATTGCAACAACAACAACAAAAGAAATACTTTGCGCTTGTTGTTGGTCAGCAGTATATCCATTGCCTGTGTACCACAATTCATTTATCCATTCAGCTATTGATGGACATGTGTGTTATTTCCACTTTTTGACTATTACAACTAAAATATCTGAACATTTGTGTCCATATGGACAAATGCTTTCATTTCTCTTGGGCAAATGTCTAGTAGTGGAATGGATCAAAAGGGGTATTAAGAAATTGCCACGCTGGGTGGCACCTGTGGCTCAGTGGGTAGGGCGCCAGCCCCATGTACCTAGGGTGGTGGATTCGAACCGGCCCCAGCCAAACTGCAACAAAAAAATAGCTGAATAGTCAATTTTCATTTACATTTTGCCCTCTTAAGACCTGTAAATAAATGTATGTGGGTTTTTTGCATAAAAAAATAGCCACTGGGTGGCGCCTGTCGCTCAGTGAGTAGGGTGCCAGCTCTATATACTGAGGGTGGCAGGTTTGAACCCGGCCCGGGCCAACCTGCAACAAAAAATAGCCAGGCGTTGTGGCAGGTGCCTATAGTCCCAGCTACTCGGGAGGCTGAGGCAAGAGAATCACCTAAGCTCAAGAGCTGGAGGTTCTGTGAGCTGTGACGCCACAGCACTCTACTGAGGGTGACAAAGTGAAACTGTCTCTAAAAAAAAAAAAAAGAAAGAAAGAAACTGCCATACTTCTTTCCCAAGTGGTTGGAATATTTTACGTCCCCATTAGCAATGTACAAGAATTCCAGCTGCTCTGCCCTTAAAACTGGGTATGGTCAATCTTTTTAATTTTCAAATAGTGTGTAGTGGAATTTCATTGGGTCCTTAGTTTTTATTTCCCTAATGACTAATGATGTGGAGAGCATTTTTTCACACACTTATGGACCGTTTGTATATCTTCCTTGGAGAAATGTCTAGTCAAATACTTTGCCCACTATTTTAATTGTATTAGTCATTTTATTGTTGAGTTATAAGAGTTCTTTTTAGGTTCAGTGCCTGTGGCTAAAGCAGCTAAGACGCCAGCCACATACACCTAAGGCGGCGGGTTCAAATCCAGCCCAGGCCCGCCAAACAACAATGATGGCTCAACCAAAAAATAGCCGGGCGTTGTGGCGGGTGCCTGTAATCTCAGCTACTTGGGAGGCTGAGGCAGGAGACTCGCTTGAGCCCAGGAGTCGGAGGTTGCTGTGAGCTGTGATGCCATAGCATTCTACCCAGGGCGACAGCTTAAGGCTCTGTCTCAAAAAAAAAAAAAAGTTCTTTTTATATCCTGGACACCAGACTCTTATGGGCATAATTTTTTCTCATATATTGGTAGGGGGTTTGTTTTCACTTTCTGCTTCTTTCTAAAAAAATAAAAATTGCTTGTTTGTTTTCTTAATATTGAGTTTTGAGAGCTCTTATCTATTCTGAATACAAATCCTTTTTCAGATATATATCATGCAGATGTTTTCTCCCAATCTGTGACGGACTTGTCTTTTTATTCTCCGAACGATGACTTGCAAAAAACAGAAGTTCTTCATTCTGATAAAGTCTAATTTACCGTTTTTTTCTTTTACTGGTGTTATATCTTAGAAGTTTTTGCTTAACCCAAGGTCACATAGGATTTTCTTATACTTTCATCAAGAGGTATTAGAGTTTTAGGTGTAACATTTACATTTGTGGGGCAGTGCCTGTAGCTCAAGGAGTAGGGTGCTGGCCCCTTATGCCAGAGGTGGTGGGTTCAAATCCAGCCCTGGCCAAAAAAAAAA